ATCTATCTATCTATCTATCTATCTATCTATCTATCTATCTATCCATCTATCTATCTATCTATTCATCCACCCATCCATCCATCTAAAGAACATATGCACAAAATAATTTTATCTACCACTGTATGGATGAATATTTTATCATCCCACTGACAGTATTAATGGGAGATACTTATTTTATTCCACAAGTAGAATTTTAAACACTTAGCATGACAGTGATCAATGAGGCTAATGTAGCAGCTAAAGTTCATATGAAATTATAATAAGCCAACAAATAATGTTTGATTTCAAGTTATTTTCTGTTTTGATATAGTGTTGGTGGGCAGGAAATTAAATCTAGAGGCGGAAAGGTCAGAAGATGGATGAAGAGACTGAAGAAAACATGCACACCAGACATAGCTCCCATTCTGCTCCTCTGCGAGAGACCATGAAGTCCACCAGCCACCCTTCAAGAGGGAAGGAAGGCTGTGTGTGGAAACACCCTTCATGGTGTTAGTTTGATGTTACCCCATCTTTCCTTCTTGCACCTGATTTTTACTCATACTCCTGCTGATGCCAGCCTTTCCCTGGTGTAGACTTTTTTTATCTGACTTCCAGATCCCTCCCTTCTATCTCTAAGTATTTCATCTTGGAATAATGGGACCTTGGGGTGATCACCTGACTGATGAGACCACAAATGATCCACCGACTCACTCAGGCTCAAGACCTCAAATCCAGACATTGCCCTTAACGCAGCTCCTACCCCTTGTTAGTTAACCATGTCTAGGGACAAAAAGGACCTTAGGGCTGCCAAGGTAAAGGAAAAGCAGAAAAGAGAAATTCATTGAAGCAATCAAGACAAACTTCATAACCTTTAGACATTTGCCTGGACTGTTACCATGCACCGTGTCTTAAATGTAGGGCTAAATGAAAATGACATCTAACGTCCTATGATATTATTTGACAACAGGATATATTTTATACAAGTCTTGATTTTATCACCAACAGAAGGTAGCTTCATTCCCAGGAGACTTATTTCTGTTTGTGAATGTTCTTTCTAACTAGGCGGTAGATACCATGGTTAGCTTTACAGTTAGTGACTACCAATTACTTTGTGACTGAAAACTTTATGAATCTTATTTTAACAGTAACAAATAAAAAATTAATTCTAGTAGATTAAACAATTCATGTTTATTTTTCAATATTACCAGTTGCTTTCTCTGTTTAAAACATCTTATGATTTAAAACATCATAGATTTCATTCATTTATGTACCTTTGCCTCTGACAAAAGTTGTTGTCCAGCAAGCTCACTTAGATGATTAGATTAACAGATGTCTCTAAAAATAACAAACTGAGGAGGGTTTAAAAATATCCTCTGAACAACACCGTTTTTAAAAAGATACTCAAAGTGTCCCCAGTTCAACCCGTAATTATTAAAGCCAGTTTAAATATTGCAGGCCTATGAGCCAAGAAAGTAAATTCTGCTATCTAATCAGT